GAAAGCTTTGGGGTAGCCTGCTTAGGTGTGTCCCCCTTCTCTTCTCACTTTGAGAACTCCTAGGAGGACCTGGGCAGAGTCTTGGGTGGAGGAGACAGGGAATGAATAGTCTATGAGGCCCTGGGCACAGGAAGATATCTCTACATCATGGACTTACTTTTCCCTGACTCTGTAATTCAGAGTATATTGTCTTCAAGAGCAATATTAGAGGGTGGATATCTAGGATAAAGAGTGTAATTATTTGGAGAATCTTCTCTGTTTAAATATCACCCATATTTCCCCCATCCCTTTGCCTCAAAACCTGTTTCCAAAATAAAACCATTGCACCAAGGAAGAGCTTATACAATGATGGTTTCCCATGTGCGTTAGCACTGGGGGGTCATGCAGGGGAAAAGCAGAAATATCAATCACTGTATGCCCTACAGTGACAGCCACTACTGTATGCAGCTGCTCAACTAGGATTCTCTACTCTGACTCCTCCCTGAATCTTTAACATGATCCTTTGAGAAGTGTGGGTCAAAAGGATTTGGTTATAGTTTTTTGAAATATATTTTTACTAGAGGTCCAGTGCATGAATTCGTGCATAGTTGGGGTCTGGCTGGCCCTGCCCTGATGAGGACCCAATCAGGGCCAGGGGGAGGGGCCGTGGGTTATTGGCTGGCGGGCGCCACCCCCAACTGGGATAGGGGGGCAATCGGGGATGGGACTGGCCAGAGGGAAGGGCTATATGGGAGGTTGAGCAGCTTCCCCACCCTTGATGGGGTGGGAGAGGCCAATTGGGAGCAGGGCCAGCTGGGGAAGGGGCCACATGAGGTTGGCTGGTCAGCCCCACCCCAGATTGGGCCAGTTTGCTGGCCGCAGTGGGCGTCATAGCAACTGGTCATTCTGGTCGTTACAGTGCTCCATTCACTGGCTTTTTATATATATAGATGGATTTCAGAGAGGAAGGGAAAGGGAGCGAGAGATAGAAACAACAATGATGAGAGAGAATCATTGATTGGCTGCCTCTGGCACACCACACCCCCTCAACTGGGGATTAAGCCTGCAATCCAGGCATGTGCCCTAATGGGCAATCGAACTGTGACCCCTTGGTTTATAGGTCAATGCTCAACCACTGAGCCACACTGGCCTGGCATGGGTCAAAAGGTTTAAAAAAGAAACCAAAATGTGAGTTTTGGTATCCACAGAAATATTCACAGAGACAAGTACACAGATTTTCTTTTCAAGAAAAGAAGATTTATTTATTTATTTAGTCTACTCCCAAAGCCCTAAATTACATCTTCCCTTAGATTTCACCTCTAGGAAGACATCCTTATCCTCCCTGTACCACTCTCTACCACCATCTCCTCTCTGGAGCGTCCCCTAACTGGCTAAACCACATCTCCCCCAACAATCTTTCCTCTGTGATTGCTATTTCCTGTGACCATTCCTAGCCCTTCTCCCCCAACCCTTTATTTTGGCATATAAGTATCTGTGAAGTAGTCAGAAGTAGCTGGGCTCTAGGCGGGCTCATCTGTTACCCACTCACTAGACAATCAGAGAAATCCAATTATCTGATGGAATGAGTTCTGCTTTAGGAGGTAGAAGAATGCTGTCCAATAATGTCACAGGGGATTGATGCAGTTTCTTCCCAACTTCTGTCCTAGGGGGAAACAAAAACAAAAATGGAAGAACGTGTTCCTTAGAAAGTCTTTATAGTTATAAAGGAGCTTTTCCCTATTTAAAAAGAAAAAAACCTACAAATGCACAAAAATATATAATGTAAACATAATTAGAAAAATTCATTTTCAATCAGATAAAAACATGTTGTTTTTTTAAAAATCACATAGAACCCCTCATACAAATGGCATTATTAACTTTCTATGATGTGAACAATGGAAATTATTACTCCCTCTTCAAGAGTTTAGGACAAAAAAAAAAAGCCCACTTTCTATCAAAAATAAGCTTCTAAAAGACAATAACAGTAACTCAGAAGAAGGTCCCCTTAACTTCTGAATATTTCCACACTACCCCAAAACCCATTCTTCTCTCTTCCGGGCTTACCTCATTCACAGGGATCAGAATACTGAATTATTGCTTGTTCATCTGTGAAATGAAATGACATATTTTATTACATTGCAGGCTTCACACCTTACAAAGAAAATATTTCATAAAAGCTATTGTTTAAGCCCTTCTCAAAGGATCCCTATAGGTTATATTCAGAATTACAGGAAGGTTCCAAACACTAATATTTGCACTCTTATGGTAAATTATTAATCATAGCAAGAATATTAACAGTTAGCCATTAGAGAACAATGGTCCACATTTTTCTTTTGGTCTGTTGATCACATCCTACAAAATACCTCTAATGCAGAAGACTTTTTTTTAATGGCATATGATTGAATTAAAGTATCTTAAGAGATTAGATAATCTATCTATATAAAAGGCTAATATGCTAAGTGTCCTTCCCACTGTCCAACCAGTTGCTCCCCACCAGGGGACAGACTCTCCGACCGGTAGGTTAGCTTGCTGCTGGGTCTGGCTGACCAGGATCGGGACTGGGTGAGACGGGCCGGACACGCCTTGGAGCCCTCCCGCCATCCCTCCCCGGCCCCGATCGTGCACCGGTGGGGACCCTTGGCCTGGCCTGTGCCCTCTCGCAATCCAGGATCCCTCAGGGGATGTCAGAGAGCCGGTTTAGGCCCAATCCCTGCAGGCCAGGCGGAGGGACTCCACTGGTACATGAATCTGTGCATCAGGCCTCTAGTATAATTATATGTTACTTGCCGTGGAAAGGAATATTTGTAAAATTAGGAGAGGTATTTTATTTTATTATTATTTTTTTAAATCCTCACCTGAGGATATGTTTTTATTGATTTTAAAGAGAGAAGAAGGGAGAGGGAGAGAAGAGAGAGAAAAAATCATGGATGCAAGAGAGAAAATGATTGGCTACCTCCCTCACACACCCCAACTGGGATTGAACCTGCAACCCGGGCTTGTGCTTGACTGGGAATCTCACCTGCAACCCTTTTGGAGTGACCCGACACTCCAACCAACTGAGCCACACCAGCCAGAGCAGGAAAGATATTTTAAAGAATGAGGAGAACTCTGTTGGGAGATGCAGGTGAAGCTCAGCTCTCACCTGGTAGGTAGTAATCATAGACTCTGATCGTTGCTGGTTTCAGGTTGGTGACTAACACACTTTGGCTGATGGTGAAGGTATAGGTCTGAGTCTTCTTACTGAGCTACGGGGAAGATGGACACCATGTCACATTAGAATTAAAATGGAAATAATCTATGTAATGTGGAGGTTAAAAGATTTTTTTCTTCACGCAGATTTTCTGAAACTCTTCTATCTGTCCCTTCTGAACTACGCCAGGCTGAAAGGAACTGCCTCCTGCTGACTGTCTGGCTCTTTCTTCTCAGGATCTTATAGCTTCCTGGCCTTTCTGTAAAATGGTTCCCTCCATCCTCTGATTTCTCCAACAGCTTTCCCTTTCTTTCTTTCTTCCTTTCTTCCTTTCTTCCTTCCTTCCTTTCTTTCTTTCTTTCTTTCTTTCTTTCTTTCTTTCTTTCTTTCTTTCTTTCTTTCTTTCTTTCTTCTTTCTTTCTCCCCCTCCCTTCATCTCTCACATCCACTCCCCACATGCCACTCCCTCTGAGTAGAAAGCTTTTGTTTCTCTTCCTTCCCGGAGTCTGCTAGACTCCAGAATGACCCCTGATACCTCGGTTTCATGTCCACTTCTCCAGCTGCTCCACCCTATTTAACCTGCTCCTAAGTAAGTTGTCCTTCCTTCCTTCCTTCCTTCCTTCCTTCCTTACTTCTATTCATTCAGGTCTCTGATCAAATGACATCCTCAGGAGGCCTTTCCTGAGTACCTTATTTTAAAATAGTCACATCCTGGTCTACTCCCACCATCCCCTTATCACTCTATCCCCTTATCCTTCATAGCACTTACTATCGAAATTACTACTGAATGTGTGTGGACACATATATATGTATTTTTTAATTTGCATAGTTTGTCTCTCACTAGGATATTAATTCCATGAGGACAGGGATCATGTCTGTTATTTTTACTGCTGCATCTCCATCACATCGAAGAGTGTCTGGCATAGATTGGTTGCTCAATAAATATTTGTTAAATACGTGAATAAATGGAGAATTTAAGACAATTGTATAAATTAATCTAATATAATCAGGAAATAAGATTCGTATTGTACATTTAGATATGGGATTACAAATGCCTAATAGGAAGAGATTTCCAAAAGGAATTTTTTAAGGTATAGTGCCTCTCAAAACGTGGTCCAGGAAGTCTCAGGGAACCCCAAGACTATATCTAGGGTTCTGCGAGATCAGGATTATTTTTGGAATAATGCTTTTATTGACTCTTATTCTCTTTGATGTACATGTGTACAGGGGCTATTTGATGTGTGATAATGCAGCGGATTGACTACAGAATCAGATAGAACTTCATTCTCTTCAATGAAGCCAGATGGCAAAGCAAAAATGTAAAACAATCTGACATTCTTCTTACTATTTTTTTGTTGTAGAAAATGTAGTTGTTTCAGTTCTTGGCTACCTACCTCTTCCAAGTAAATGTTAAGTGTGTCAGTTCCAGATTCAATCTTCTTTACCAGTGGTTGCTGGAGAAGCTGAATAAGAAAGGAGAAAAAAGAGTTTAAGAGCCAGAGCCTTCCTTGTCCCCTAGGGGAAGCCTCCAAAGCTCTGTCATGGTCAAGGAAACAATGTATATGGTGGAAAAGGTAAGAGAAGGAACAAACCTATTACAGGTTCCATGTCATATATCTGATGCACCTTTGTAGCCATTTAAATATTACAATCATGAGTTGTGTGTGCGGATATATATATAT